GGCTGTCTTGATGGGAGCGCTGTTTCAACTTTTTAAATAATCAGACACTGTCAGCGTGCTGCCAATGTGGTCCGCCTCACAGGAACATCAGTATGCTGTGTGCAGCGAATCAGTTGCTTATACTATGCAATCAATGGGAGCAAATTTCTGGTTGCGCCTTGTCGTGTATAGTGGGCATCCACCATAACCTGTTTTTTATTTTTATTTTATTTTTTTAATAATTGCATTAATCTTGTGCTGCTATTTTCACCACTGCCTGACTTCAAGAGGCTATAGATGGCTGAATTCTAAAACTAGTGTCAAACTAGAAGATGTAAGGAATCCATTGGTACCAACAATGTTGTGCTAACTACTCAGAAAGGAGGCTAAATAACTCCAACTTTGGCTAAATTTTGGTGAGGTTAAAACAGCATGGCCATTTTCACAGAGGTCTCTTGACCTCTCACCTCAAGATTTCTGAATGAAAATGGGTTCTGTGGGTACCTATGAGCCCCCCCCCCCCCCCTTTACTGATAAGTCAACTTTATGTCAATTCCATACAGTTTTGGGCACAAAGTTATGAGAGTTATGACTAGGAAAATTGCATCTCAAGTCTTTCCAGCTTTCAGGTGATATATACCACTTCTATGCTGCATCTATTGTTGGTATCTTCCCCAAAAGATCCTCTTGTTGGTCATTGTGACATTTTTCAGTTAATGTACATTTAATGGTATGTTGTCGATACATGTCATGAACTCTTTGTGTTCACAGTTGCCGGTGTGCCGGCAACCAATGAGATTGACTTTTGGCGGGGAGTCACAGTGGAGGTGATGTCATTTGAAGAGGTGTCTGGGTGGATTGTGCATCCTCCATCCTTTCATAGCCAGGAGTTAGGTGACCTGTGTGCCACACTTAAGTTGAGGCTGGGAGTGAGTTCAAAATACACGGCTACACATCACCACCATTTGGACACTGGACCACATGCGGACTGAATGCTGCAGAAATGATTTGATTCAGAGCTCCCACTAAGATATTTTAAAGATAATCTGATGCCCCAGCTCTGGCTGTAGTCTGTCTTTTGTTATATTATTGTATATTGCTATTTGACTTTAATTTTGACTGTTCATGTCAATAAAGCTTTTACTTTTAATCAACATGTTCCTTGTAAATATTTTTCCCCAATATATTAATATTTATGTCATTGATTATTATAGTGTAGCCCACAAGAAAACCATGAATTCGTACATCATATAAATGCATCACATGAATATATAGCCTTCAGTAACTGCAATATAAATAGGCTTGCTCATTGTACACATAACCTTAAACTGTATTGTATATCTGATATTTGGTATTTATGTCGAATGTGCAAAAAAGACAAAGAAATATTTTTTATTATTATTGTTATTATTATTATTTTATGATTAACAGCGGCACGGTGGTGCACTCACTGTTGCCTCACAGACATGTTAGTGTGGGTTTCACTCTCACAGTCCAAAGATATGCAGGGTAGGACTAGTGGTGACTTTAAATTGCCTGTGCATGTGAATATGAGCATTAGGGTTGTCGGTCTCTATGTGCCCTATGAAAGTCTCATGACCTGTCCAAGTTAGACCCTGCCTTTCACCCAGTATCAGCTGGGACAGTGGATAGGGAAAATTCAGAAAAACAAAAAACTAAAAAGTCTTCTGTTTTCGTTTACTGTGAGTAGTTAAGTAAGAAGAAGGTGAACTGATTTCCAAAAGGCAAAAAGTTAAAGATGATACATTTATTCAATATTTTATGCAAGATTACTTTTTAATTTCAATCTTTTACAGTTTCAAAATAACAAAAAAGAAGAAGGGCCCAAAGCAAAAATTTTGGGCACCCTACATGGTCAGTAGTTAGTAGCGCCCCCTTTGGCAAGTATCACAGCTTCTAAACACTTTCTTTATCCAGCTAAGGGTCTTTCATTTCTTGTTTGGGGGATTTTCACCCAGTCTTCCTGCAAAAGGCTTCGAGTTCTGTGAGAGTTTTGGGCCATCTTGCATGCACTGTTCTTTTGAGGTCTAGCCACAGATTTTTAATGATGTTTAGGTTGGGGGACTGTGAGGGCCATGGCAAAACATTCAGCTTGCTCCTCTTGAGATAGTCCATTGTGGATTTTTAGGTATGTTTAGGATCATTGTCCTGTTGTAGAAGTCATCCTCTCTTCATCTTCAGCTTTTTTACAGAAAGTGTGATGTTTGCTTCCAGAATTTGCTGGAATTTAACTAAATCCATTTTTCCCTTTACCCATGAAATGTTCCCCGTACCACCGGCTGCAACACAAGCGCAAGGCATGATCAATCCACCCCCGTGTTTAACAGTTGGACAGGTGTTCTTTTCATGAAATTCCGCACACTTTTTTCTCCAAACATGCCATTGCTCATTTTGTCTAAAAACTTCTATTTTAACTTCATCAGTCCACAAGACTTGTTTCCAAAAAGCATCAGGCTTGTTTAGATGTTCCTATACAAACTTCTGATGCTGAATTTTGTGGTGAGGAAACAGGACAGGTTTTCTTCTGATGACTTCCATGAAGGTCATATTTGTACAGGAGTCACTGCACAGCAGAATAGTGCACCACCACTCCAGAGTCTGCTAAATCTTTCTGCAGGTCTTTTGCAATCAAACGGGGGTTCTGATATGCCTTTCTAACAATCCTGCAAGCAGCTCTCTTGGAAAGTTTACTTGGTTGTCCTGACCTCAACTTGACCTGCACAGTTACCTGCCATTTCTTAATTACATAACCAACTGAGGAAACAGCTACCTGAAAACACTTTGCCACCGTCTTATAGCCTTCTCCTGCGTTGTGGGCATCAGTTATCTTAGTTTTCAGAATGCTAGGCAGCTGTTTGAGGAGCCTATGGCTGCTGATTGTTGGGACAATGTTTCAGGAGTCAGAGGATTTATAAAACTTTGAAATCTGCATCACTTGGCCTTTCCTAACGATGATTGGTGGTGAACAAGCCATAGTTGTAACAAGCTAATTATAGTCTGAGACCCTGATAAAAGTTGTCTGGGAGCTCAAATGTCTTGGGGCGTCCACATTTTGCATGGTATTTCTTTCCTTTTTTCACTCTAAAATTGTACAAAACAAAAATTAATACGGTGATCTTTCTTCAAAAGTTGAAAAGCATGTTTCATCTTTAATGTCATACCTTTTGGAGATCAGTTCATCTTCTAATCACTTAACTATTCACACTACAAGAAATTTAGACCAGGGATGCCCAAATCTTTCTATACCACTGTAAATCCATGGGAGCATATTGCTAAATCACAGTGATCAAATGTACATAAACTGTGAAATTACAATTAAGTTATGAGTTATTTACAGGGTCATATTGTTATGTTACAGTAATGTGATGGCCGTTTACTGTGAGGATACACTTAAATATAGTAGGGATGCACCGAAATGAAAATTTGTGGCCGAAGCCGAATATTATTAAACGCTTGGCCGAATACCGAGTACCGAATACTGAATATCGTTGTTTAGTTTTTCATTAGTTTTTGCAGATGAACCCCCTCCAGATTAGTGTTGTCACGGTACCAAAATTGGATCCCACTGTACGATACCAATGAAAATATCATGGTTCTGAGTAGTGTCACGATACCACAGCGAAAATGAGGCAGATGTGCCTTTTGTCATTTATAAAAAGATAAATCACTTTTCTATTATAGGCTACATCAATGATATTTCAATGGAATAAATTACTTATTGACTTATTCATACTTCAAAAACAGCATCAATGAGTGATTAACAGGGGGGATCAAAATAAAATAAATAAATAAAATAAGAATCAACCAGCCACCCTCCTCCCCTTCATAAGTAAAGAACAGTCCCTAAAGTACAGCGAGGTTTGTGGGCCGTGAACGGCTCGTTTCTCCTCTGACACGTCACATACCTGTGTTCGGCTGGCTCGGCTGTTCAGGTACTTCTGGGCAGTCTTTACTCCAAGAAGAGGATATTATTGGATCCGTTTTTTCTTTTGCCCGGTAAGCCGATGGCCGCCGTATTTGACAGGAATACATTACTGTCTATGTCTGTGACCCCCGTTCAACCCACAATCGGTGGGATTCGCCTTTCGTTTCTGCTGCTGGTTGAAATCTGTAGGCTGCTCGTACAGCGTGCTGAATGATTTAAGCCTATTTTGCTTGCTCAAAACTATTTTTAGTCGCAAATGCAAGTGCGGTGACGGACAGATTGCCACACTGCCGACATTTTACTCCGTCCGTCAAGGCACGCTGTTTGATTGCATTATCAAAACACGCCGCTATTATTCGCCCTTGCTTTTAACTTAATCCACTGAATACCGAATGTGTGTTAAAATATAGTAATTTTACAGAAGCATACTTCTAATTCACAGTAACATGCAGGCATAAGTTCTGTGAGATCACAGTATACAGCTGACATCTCACAATTTACTGTAAAAATGACACAGAAAAGTGATGCATAATTTCTGTGAGGTCACAGTATACAGCTGTCATTTCACAATTTACTGTAAAGTGACACAGAAAATTACTGTGAAAGTGATGCAACTAGAAGCCAGAAATGTACTGTAAATGTACTTTCAGATATTTTACAATGGACTACATAAATGTCCTTAAAGAGCTGAACATTTTGTTATTTTAATGGTTTCTGTAGCTGCAAATATGCAGAAGTAGTCGTCAAGCAGAAACAGTACAGAAGATGAAGTAATATTAATTCTGGATCATATTAGTGTTAATGCTAAGTCAGCATTCACACAAAGACAAAATAGTGTCTTTAGCCTCTCATGTCTTTTGTGATTATTCTGGTCTCTAAACATCAGGTGCACCAATTTGTCAGATTAATGAAAAAGTTACATGAATAAAATTATACACTTATTTAAATTAAGAAACATAGGTAGTGTGACTGCTTTTGAAACTTTAAAGGTCCTCAACATGTTATAACAAAATGTTGAAAATTTTCTGTCTGCCCTCTGCTGCTTGTTTCATGCTGAGTGCTCTGTTTGTTGCAGTCATTCAAGATCATCAACTTTGCCCCGACCCTGCTTCAAATCATTGTGTCTGAGCAAGTGGAGTTTCCTGTTCGCCAGGCAGGTAAGACTCTCAACAGCCTATGAAACAATAATGATGTTGCTTCATGGACTGCTGCTTTGCATCTCACTGCTGAAAAGTTTTTCTTGGCCATTAAACAGTGCTCATTTCCATCTTGATTCAGTAATTATTGGGTTTGGCCCACTTGACATGCTGCTGTGTTGTGCTATGGCCTATTCAAGCGCTGGAATTTGTTATTTACGTGACAGTGCCTGAACGCAACACAGGCTCCGCTCCATAGACAGTGTCTCGGACTCGGGTTGGGTTCGCTCTAACGTGCTCACCTGTGTGTGTGTGTGTGTGTGTGNTTCATTCATTTATCCTTCCTCAACATTTCGTATTTCCACGTCTTGTTAAAGCTTTATAAATCGCTTGGTCATGGTACAGTCCTTGCTAGCAAGGCTTAAGTCTGGGAGCAGGACCATGCCTCACTACTTATACCTCATTATTCCTCCCCACACAATTTGTTTCCGTTTTCTTTCTCATAATCAAAATTTCACTGCTTTTTAACATAAAAATCATAACTAGATCATAGTTAAGCAGACCCTTGTTCCCATTTTCTTGGCCCACCTTCACTTTCCCTCCAACTCATCCTTTCCTTCAGTCCCCTCTCTCCCTCAGCATTGTCTTTAACCACTCCTCTTGACCCCATCTCAATCCAAGCATCCCTGCCTACCAAGAAAATCTGCCAAATTCAGTCGAGCGTTTCCATATCAGACACAAGTGATTCATGCTGTCCCTAAATTTGATAATATGATTGCCCAGTAGTCCAATTCCATGTTTTCGGCAAAGTTAAATTTAACACTAGATAGATAGATAGATAGATAGGTAGGTACTTCATTAATCTCCGTAGGGAAATTGTCATGTCCAGTGGCTAAGGCACATAAAGGAGTAAAAATAGAAATTGTCTAAATGTCAACAGTGTACACTATCAGAAGGTACAAAGTGCAAAAGTGCAGGAGGGTGTGCGGATGTAGTGGGGAAATGAGCTATGTGCTCCCTCCCCCAACTGAGGTGTTGAAGAGTCTGATGGCTGTGGGGATGAAGGACCTCCTGAACCTCTCAGTCCTGCACTGCAGTGACAGGAGACGATGGCTGCGGCTGCTTTTCTGTCCAGCCAAGATGCAGTGCAGTGGATGATTATCACATTCTAGTATGCCCTGCATCTTGCTCCTCAGGCATCTCTCTGTGATGGTCTCCACCGAGTCCAGGCTCCTGCCCAGCACTGAGCCTGCTTTCCAGATGAGCTTATCTAGCCGTTTCCTGTTTCTGTCCGTCAGGCTTCCTCCCCAGCAGACTACAACGTATAGCAGAGAGCTCTCAACCACTAATTTATAAAACATGTACAGCATGTCACTGCACACGTTGAAGGACCACAGCCTGCGAAGGAAGTGAAGCCTACTCTGACCTTTCTTGAAGAGGGCATCAGAGTTGGTCGACCAGTCCAGCCTGTTGTCAAGGTGGACGCCCAGGTACCTGTATGACTCAGCCACCTCAATGTCCACTCCCTCAATGCTGACCGGCAGGAGCGGAGTGGGCTTTGACCTACGGAGGTCTATGACCATCTCTTTGGTCTTGGAGGTGTTCATCACGAGGTGGTTCATGCCACTCCAGTGAGAGAAGGTCCGCACCAGCTCCCTATATTCGCCTTCCCCTTCACCCCGGATACACGCCATGACAACAGTATCGCCGAGTACTTCTGGACATGGCAGGAGTCAGAGTGGTGCTAGAAGTCTGACGTGTACAGGGTAAATAGGAAAGGCGCCACTACTGTCCCCTGCGGAGCCCCAGTGCTGCTCAGGACTGTCTCAGACACACAGTTCTCCAACCTGATGAACTGTGGTCGCAGTTCCGCGCTGGAACCATACTGCGTACCGTGAACTCCTGAGACTAACCTTTCAAGCGGACAGTGTACTGTTCCCTTATGTAGTGTTAACTCTTTACACTTATCCAATGAACCAGACAGAGGTCAAGCATGCATCTGGGACTGGGTCCCTGACGCCAAAGCACCCTCTGCCTTTTCAAATTTCCTTCCGGCCTAACTTTTCAACACTGCTAGGACTCATTAACTACTTCATCTCTATCATCACCCAAGCTTGACTAACTATGCAAGACGGAGCTAAAACCGTAGCACCAGTCCCAAAATTCTCCCAGAACACCATCCCTTTTCATGATGATCATGCTAAGCCAGGAGTCAACCAACCGTAGACAAACTCAGCCAACCTCACCCCTTCATTCACAACCCACGAAACATACCCATTCTCTATAGCGGCCATCCTTTTGCAGGCATGATCACATTCGCTTAACAACATGCTATTCATGCAGACACTCACCCTGGCCTCAGACCTGCACCAATTCATCAATCCAAGCGTCCCATATCCCCAATCGCAGGCTCACGCTTTTACGTTATTAATTCTAGAAATTTTGACAATTGGCACCAGCCTCCGACCTTCTTTTGACTGTTTTATTTGGGTTGTCTCTTTGCACGGAGCCACTTTAACCTTTTAAATAGATGCAGCCACTTCAAATTTCCGTTTGGTCCATGGTGGAGCCGTGACCGATCCGTGACAGTTCCCTGTCGTCACCTGGCCAAGCTCGTAGCTTTAATGAGATCCCCCACGATGATGTAGAGAATACGCGGCTGACTGGTCATGCCCCTAAGTTTAATTTGTAGAAACCAGTTACAATGGTCTGTCTATCCACCAGGCGGAGAAGTGAGTGTGGAAGCTGAAGCAGTTTACTGCACCTCTTATTACTGAGATAGCTTCCCACACAGAGCATATTTAATGAATACTACTATATGTATATATTACCATTATTATGGCTATATAAATGTAATTTATGGTGCTGTTAGATTGCTGTTACACCACCCCACTCCGTTTACAGAATGTGTGAAAGACGAGGATTTATTTTTTTACCTCAGTGAAAATGTTGTTTTTCAAAGACTACACGCCAACAAATATGGACTGAAGCAGAATCTTTTTTTAGATAAAAACAGCTTGTGAATATATTGGAAATGATTACGTAGATCTTTTCTTTGTTTAATTATTATTTTGAGGTTCAGACGGTACAACGTTCTGCCTTTCGCACGCAGCACAGCTTCATCTCATCTTCATCTGTCTAACAGATTCATGGAAGCAATATTTCACAAGATCTGATGCAAGACAAATTTGTGCGGAAGTGTATTGCATTCACTTGACAAATAAATAAAAATCTGTTTTATTGAGTATTTTTTTTCTGTTTTTCTTTTTTTTTTGGAGTAATTTTTTTATTTTTCTGTTTTTTCTGTGTAATATTTTCTGTTTTTCGTGGTAATTTTATTTCTGTTTTTCGTGGTAATTTTGTTTCTGTTTTTCGTGTTTTTTTGTTTTGTTTTTCAGGGTAAATTTTTCTGTTTTTCTGAGTATTTTTTTCTGAGTTAAAAGAGCAATAGAACAACAGAAGCTTTCGGGGGTGCCCACCCAATATAATGGTGCCTATGATATAATAATTTGAGCCCTGCATCTTGAAATCTTTGCCATATCTTTGCCACTTTACCTAGCTTGGATTAAAGATTTCCAGAAATCCCAAACATTTACTGAAATTGAATTTCTTGAACATGGTAGACAAATTAAAACCTAATATCAGGAACTGGAAGTTGCTTCTCCTCTCAATGACTGGTTGTATCAGTGCTATAAAAATGGTTGCACTTCTTCACTCTCATCAAAACCTTACTATCTATTTACCATTGTCTTTCTTAAACAATATCCCAGCCACTGACAAAATTTTCCATCATTTATGACAGAACGCTTCCCCGCCACTGAAAAGATATCCTGGCAATCCATGTTTTCACTGTTATAAGACTGTTACGAGGGGTGCTGTTACACATCTTGTGAACTAGAACAGCACTCCCGTGTCCAAAAATAATCAAAGAAGATCAGCTGAAACCTGGAAGATATTGTTTACAGAAATGTAGCAGCCTGTAAACTGCATGAAAATGCCGGCTTTGACAGAAAAGTAATGCAAGCCGTGGAGATGTTGATGGACTCAGACGCTGCAATTCCTGTTTTGACCAATATTCTGAATCCGATTTGTACGAAGAAGCAAACGAGTTTGGTGGGACGAAACAGGATCTCCATGACAGTGACAGCAACACACGGACAAGATGATTACAGAGGAGAGGGAAACAGCAGAACACTGAACGATCACTGAACGTGGCAGCGTGTTCTGCTATACCTTAAAGACTATTATTTTTATTGTTATCATTATTATTATTATTATTATTATTTATACAGTTCAAGCTGACATAAGGAAATGAGAAAAAACAAAAAAGGTAAATGTGAAATTTATTTAGTACTTGAAAATGATTGTCTTTGACAAAAATGCATGTTTTTGTGTTTAAAAATAAAAGGTCTCTCCTTTAGTTTCATGTAAATACTGTTTACGTATTCATAAAACAAATTATTCTATGGGTCTTGAAAGTTCAGTGAATATGATCAAAAATGCTGGTGGTGGATGGCAATTATAAAATAATACACTGGTGTGGGACAGGTTAAATAACTCAATTCAGCTATCCTCTTGTTTGTCTGGGCAAACAAACCCCCTCAAATTTCTAAAGCCTACTTACAAAAGAATGAAAACAGAGGTTGCCTCATCATTTCTGTATTTAGGCATTTTTATGCCTCTCCGCCGGTGATAGCTGTGGCTACCTCACAAAATATGTTTTTGGCCATAACTCGAGAATTTAGTGCTAATTATAATACAACTTCACACAAATGTCCAATAGGATAACATAATGAAGTGATGATATTTTGTATCTAAAAGGTCGACGGTCAACTTCAACTTCAGTGTCATATTTCAGTAACAGAAGGGGAGACATTTGGTCAAATACTTAATTGGTGACTCTCATCTTGGGTGTCCACCTTGAAACTGTGCTGAAGAGGGTATGGTTTTTTTTTGGGTTTTTTTCTGGAAAAGTGGGGATTGCTCCCTCCAGGTCTGACTGGGTGGTTGCCCCAAGCAAA